TCCAGCTACTACGCATGCTTCCTGTCACATTTAAAGGAGCTGCAAAGGATTGGTTGAAGTCACTCCCTCCCGGATCGGTTACCACATGGGCCAAGATGAAAGAAGAGTTCATAGATCATTTCTGCCCACCTTCCAAGATAGCCAAGCTAAAGAAAGCCATTGCCAACTTCGAGCAACAACCCGAAGAATCTCTTTATGAAGCTTGGGAAAGATACAAGAGCCTACTTAGAAATTGCCCCCACCATGATCTTAATAGCCAACAAGAGGTCTCCATCTTTTATGATGGAGTTAATGTCACCACAAGGCAGCTACTCGATTCACAAGGCCCGCTCACCCGAAAGCCGCCTCCGAAAATAAAGGAATTAATTGAAGAATTCTCTAAGCACTCTAGAGAATACCACAACCCGAGGAATGAAGTGAGTCGTGGAGCAGTAAACTCGGTGAACGATGGCATGGCGGCGGTAATAGCCAAACTCGATAGCCTAGACCGAAGAATGACGAAAATGGATCAAACGATCCATGCTATTAGAGTTGGATGCGAAAATTGTGGCGACCCCATCTTACCAAGGATTGTGATCGAGACGAGAATGGAAATAAAAAGGCTCAAGTATTCTATTCCAGTGGCGATAGATACGATGAAGACTGGAGGAAACCGAAGAAGGAATGGCTCCCATACGAAGAGTATAAAAAGGCTAAGGAGGAAAATACAAACAGAGGGAGAGAGGATATTATCAAAAGGAAGAGCCGGTAACGGAAAAGAAGGCGAATTTAGAAGATATACTCACAAGGTTCATAACCGCGTCCGAGAAAAGACATAATGATCATGATGTGGCAATGCAAGAAACCAGAAACATGTTGAGGAATCAGCAAGCTTCCATTCTCAACATTGAGAAACAGCTGGGACAGCTTGCATATCAAGTGAACGAAAGAAGACCGGGCCAACTTCCGAGCAACACCAAGCCCAATCCAAGAATGGAGAACGTGAGCGCAATAACCTCCAGAAGTGAAGAAAAATTCACAGAAGCACTAAGGATCTCCAAGAAGAAGGAAGACAAGGTAGAAGAACCGGAGCCAGCTAAACCCGACCCGACTCGCCGAGTCACTCCTGTGGACTCGACGAGTCCAGGCGAAAATGATAAACCCATTAGTTCTTCGAAACCTTATAAGCCTCCACTACCATACCCAACCAAAGCCATGTCTGCAGAAAAAGTTGAAGCATACAGAACATTCATGAATCATGTTAACGCTCTACAAGTTAATGTGCCATTCGTGGAAACAATACTTCAAACGCCTAAATACTTCAACTTGCTTAAGGGCTTTTTGCTGCTAGGAAGGATTTGGCTGAAGTTGCAGAAGTCTTGATGAGTGAGCTACCTAAAAAGAAGGGTGATCCCGGCAATATGGTGATTCCGTGCCAATTTGGTAATGAGATCTTCACACGAGCATTGGCTGACTCGGGGGCAAGCATCAATATGATGCCTTTGTCATTCTATAAGAAGATGAATCTACCAGAACCAAAACCGGTGCATATGAAGATCCATTTGGCGGACAAGACAATAATCCATCCAAAAGGTTTGCGAAGATCTCCTTATAAAAGTTGACAAGTTCATATTCCCAGTAGACTTCGTGGTTGTTGATATGGAAGAAGACCCCGAAATTCCAATTATTTTGGGGAGATCCTTCTTGAACACCGCGTGTGCCTTAATTGATATAAGTGAGTCTACATTGACATTGAGAGTGGGTGATGAGGCTTTGAAGTTTAAAGCTATTCCAGAAATCAAGCAAGAAGAGAAAAAGATTGAAGAAGTCTCAATGATCCAATTGGATGATGAGATATTAGAAAAAGAGCTTGCACATTTGATGAAAGAAGATCCAAGCAAGTTTGTGATACACTCTGAAGAAGAAGGAGATGTTAACAAGGACTTGGAAGAATTGGAAAAGCTACTGGAAGGAGCCCACTCAGAAGAAACCCAAGATTCTAGGAATTCGTACCGACTCGCCGAGTCACTCTAGTGGACTCGACGAGTCCAGTCGATTTGGGCAAACACTTGGCCGACTTGGATCTGCTTATTACTAGTCCTTCACATACCTTAGATTTCAGTTATATACAGGATTCTTTAGAAGAACAAACAGCAGAAAAAGGAAAGGAAAGGAGAGTGCAATACGCCGATGTTGCATGTCTTGATACAGTCCATTTCGAGGAAGGGTTAAGCACGGAAAGGATGCAGAAATAAAGGAAAGGAAGGAGGAAGCTGATCACCAATTCACCACTAAACCTAGAGCACGGACCATCATGGAATGTGAAGTTATTAAATTTAAAGAAAAGGAGGTTCAAGAGACGGTGAAAAAGAAGGGGGTGAAGAAGAAAAAGAGGAAAAGGGAAGCCCAAGCAGCTGAAGATGAGGCAATGAAAAGAACAAGAGATGAATTAAAAAGGGCTTACAAGAAAAAGATCCATGCTTACAAGACCATGTACAAATCACAAAAAGTTAGGCGTGCGTTCCCGATGCTCAAAGATGACAAAACGTAGATGGGAAGGAGTCTAGCTCATGACTCCTCAAAAAGAAGCGCTTGGCGGGAGGCAACCCGTTATATAGAGTTTGCTTTCTTATACTTTTTAGTTTTCTTTTTTATTTTCCCTTCGTTCTTAATCTTAATCTTTCAAATCATTGGGCATGTCTGCTTGAGAGTGTGCATAGGCTAAGTGTGGGGTGAAATGATTCATAATAAACAGAAATTTTTTGAAAATTATACAATTTTTTAAGCGACTCGCCGAGTCTGACCACGACTCGACGAGTCCACATGGATTTCAGAAAAGCATTTGACTTCGCAACCAGACTCACCGAGTCTGACCACGACTTGACGAGCCGGTCTTATTTACAGAAAAAAAATAATTTCAAAATTAATTTTACATTGGGTAAGTAGGGTTTTAACCCTATGAATCAGTTTCACATCTACACTCGTCGACGGGCCGCTATTTGCATTTTCTCTCTCAAGCATTCATCAAGTTCTTCAAGTTCTTCCAAAATTCTCAAGCACAATCCAAAAAGGTATCAAATTTCTTCCTATTTTCTGTTAAGAGCATGATTATAAGGCAATCCAAGGTAGAAATTGCATGAAAAACCCGTTTTTGAGAAGTTCTAAATTTCTAGGGTTTTGATTTCTCATGAATTAAGTTGTTTTGAATGCTTATTTTGGCCTTAATACATCAATACTAAGTGTTGAGACAAAACCCTTGAAAGAATTTACAGGCCTTAATGGTCCAATTTTATGAGACCCGTCGACCGACTCGTGCAGGTTGCGCTACTCGTCGAGTCGGGCATGGACTCGACGAGTCCAGTCGAGTTACAGATACAAACCAGTTTTTAATTATATTCTATGTTTTATGGGTTTTATTTATTTGTGTTGCAGAAATCATGTTCAGAAGGGGACAATCTTCAAGTGGTAGCCAAGGGGAGTTCCCATGGCTAAACTTCCCGCAAATTGAATCCGCTTCAACAATGAGGAAATGGAAGAAGAAGCTCTCCGACATTAAGAAGAAGGAGGTGTATGTACCAAATAGGATTGATTGGGAGTGGCTGCAAAGTGTTAGATATGAGGAAGAATTAGCTCCTTACCTTTTGAAGGAGTTCCAACATGAAGGCGAGACCCATGATCTGTGACGGGTGGAGCCGGGTCTTCCGTATACAAGAGCCGGTCTATTTAGAGCTTTGTTTGGAGTTTTTCTCCACGGTATCTTTTACCGGGGGAGTGGATGTGTATCACCCGGCAAGCTTTACTTTTTGTCTTGGGGGCGAGTATCGTCAATGCTCGGTGGTGGATCTTGCCTGCCAACTAGGGATATACGATCAGCCCTTGGTGTCAACAAACATCTTCCGGGTCTTTTTGGCAAATACTCATATGGTGTTCCCCGATGGAGTTACAAGCATGGGTTGGTGGAATACCATTGGAAATAAAGTTTACATCCCAAATTCTGCACAAGAAGGGAACATCCGATCCCCAACTCACCGCCTCATTCACCGCCTTATTTCATCCACCATCAACCAAAGGAAAGATGATGACAAGGTCTCCAACCTTGAAGTTTTTGTACTTATGGAGCATAATAACACCCGGTGTCTTTTGCAACATCCCTTGGTGTATAGCTTTATACCTTTCGGAGGGTGCGGTCAAAGATCGCAAAACCTCCCGTATAAATGGTGGAATGTTTGTCACCCGATTGGCTAACTCATTCGGGTTGATGAACCGCGGTGCCTGGAACTTCATGACATTGATCCCGACACCTCCGTTCAATCCCATTCTTTTCCGAAGAGCGAGGATAATTGAAGACTATGGTGGTGGCCATTATGCCATCCCAAATGATGACCCCGTTGTTGGTCCCGAAGCACCGAGAAGGAGGGTGAGATCACGAAGAGAGCGGGATGTGGAGGACGAGCCGCCAGTGATTCTGGTCGAGAATGAAGACGTACCAATGGATTGGTACAATGTAGAGATGAGGTGGATGCAGGATCAAATGGCGAGGGGGATGAACTTTAGCAACCAATCCCACATACGACTTTTTGACCACTTCAATATCCCACATATTGATGGTGGAAATTACCCATTCATTCCATCATGGGATGAGAGGATTGGTGCGCGACGAAGTGGAGCCGGGGGAAGTGGAGCCGCCAATGATGATGAGGAGGATGAAGATTGATTTTGATATTTTTGTGTTTTTAATCAAACAATTTTAATTTTTTGTTTTGTTTTTATTTTTATTTGGTGTGTATGCTTTGTTTGAGATTTATTATTGTTTAATGGTTGTTTGCTTTAGTTATTTTTCAAGATTGAATTATGATTGATTGCTTAGGA